AGCTATATCTCTGCTGTTTCCACCAATACACCGTAGAATCTTTTCGCGAAACGGAAGTTTCACAATGTAACGTCCATCCCCTGTTCTCCTTGTAGTTGCTGCGTATATTTCCTCGCATCTTTGTTCTTCTAAGGTAAGTATTTTCTTTTTATTATTTAGCTGATCCTCAATTTCCCAAAATCTTTTTAATATATCACTGTCATTCATTTGAGCATGCATTACTGTAATATAACGAATGGTGTTCTTTCTGCTTTCAGGTGCAACCACTCCCGATATAATCCAGCCCAAGCACGTATTCTGAGCAAGTAAAGATCCATTTGGAAATCTCTTAATACCTTCCATAACAATCTGACAATAGACGTCGGCTCCTAACAGTACATCGATTTTATTCGGCTTATGAAACTCTGGATCAGCTAATCTTAGTTGTTCTAGTTCTAGCCATTCTAATGACTGTAATTTTCTTTCAGGTATATTGGACGTGATCGCCTTCAACACATAAGCATGAATTTTAATGTCAACATTGGACTCCACTATCGATTGTAAATTAAACGTAACCATATATTTCGATACAGTTGTTTTATTTGCACCAAGACCAGATACTACCCCTCTTACTGGAGTTTTCTTTAGCCTTAAGAACTGTACTACATCCTCTCTAACGAAGCTAGCTTGCGAACCTTGATCCAGCAAGGCACGCAGAACTTGACAATTACCCAGGTTTGACTGAGCCTTTATTAGCGCTGTCGCTAATAAAACTTGCCTAGAACTCATGATCTCACCCGTTGATAGACAAGAAACAACAGGTACTTCACCAATTGATGAACTAACACCTTCAGACTGAGTACTGAGGTTGACCTTATGACCTTTTGTTTGATTTGAACTGATGTTCGAACTATTTATATGCAAAAGAGAGTGATGCTTCTTCTTGCATGTACGACAACAAGTTGGTTTTTGACATTCATTCACCATATGATTTCCTCCTAAACAGTTAAAGCAAACTTTATTATTCATCACAAAGTCGCGCCTCTTGTTAATATCTAAACTTATAAACCTTTTGCAAAAACATAATTTATGACTTTCAGTACAATACTCACATTTAATGTTACGTTGCGTAGTTACCATTACCTTCGGATTCAATTGATGAGTGTGTGAAACATTGTGCTGACCTGGGAACCTTTTAGGTTCAATGAACTCAAGTGCTCTAAAACGATTTTCAAGAAAAGTCTTAAACTGTGTAAAGGTAGGGAGATCTCCAGAGCTCTCGTTAGAAACCGCAATTTCCCATTGTTTACGGGTTTCTGTGTCGAGTTTAGAAGTAACTATAAATATAACTATAATATCCCAAGTGCTCACATTAATTTTTAGGTTTTGTAACGCATTCATACAATCAGAAGTAGTATCTAAAATTTCCTTCAAAGCACTTGCAGACTCGGCATATACACGTTTTTGTCCGAAAAACCGTTTCAAAATACAATTAGCTAAATATTTTTTATTATTGTATCTGTTCTCTAATTGATCCCAACATTGTATATAATTTTCATCTGTAATAGGTACATACCTTATCAATTGCTCTGCTTCACCGGTAAGATGCCCTTTTAAATAATGCAATTTCTGTACATTATCTAAGGAATTGTTCTTGTGCACTAAACAATTAAATAAATCGCGGAACGTGGCCCACTCGGAATATTTTCCTGAGAAAATTGGAATCGAAATTGGTGGTAACTTAACCAGTGAAGAAGTACAATTGGTCTCAATGTTCTTATTGCAAACAGTACTAACACTATGTTCTAAAGCTAATAATTCCCTTTGAGCAGTTCTCAATAAGGTTTTGTATTCCAAATAAGTCTCTTCAACACTACCATAAATATCATTTGAAATGTACGTTGATTCTGAAATATTTTGAGAAGACAATATTTCAATTAACTTTACATTATTATCTCTGAAAAGTGACCAATCTTTTTCCAAATTTTCTATTCTAATTTCTATATACGCCAAAGTGATTTTGCTTTTCGGAGATTTATTAAAATTAACTAAGCCTTTTTCAATTACTGATTTTAGAGCTAATTGAATTTTCAAAAGTCCTTCCATGTTTACAAAACTATAACAAATAAAGGGAAAACAAATTAACTTAAATGACACTTGTACTAATAAAATAAACAAACTGACAATCCACTAGTCTGTGGTCAATTTAAAAGAAAAATAAAATTAATAATTTCCAAAGCTTAAAATTTTACAAGTGTTTGACACATTTGTACCGAGCGGAAATCGGACATGGATTCCCCGTTCCGTCGTTTTTCCTTAAATTATTCTAAGTCCTAAAGCTACTTACAACTATGTAGAAATGCACTAAGACGATAAATCTTTAAAATCTTCTAAGTTATCTTAACTAAGCTAATAAGGTTCAAATTGTACTTACAGTTTCTAATAAACTCACACAAACCACAATTGACAATGCACTAGTAAACGCTTCCTTCTTTAGCCGCCAGGGGGCGTTCAAATCGTCGTACTTGTTTGCAGGAAACTGCCTCCAGGGGGCGCTTCACTGCACTATTCTCTTTCTCTCTCTAGAGGAGTGAGCGGCAGCGTACAGCACTAATCGGCACGCCACCTGCCGTATCTTCTCAAAACTTGGGTGATCTACTTCATCTAAATCCGGCTCGAAGGACCATTGTTTAGGACCAAGGGTCAGCAAAAGTACTCGGCGAATTGGGATTCCTTGAAATGATAGAACTTCGTAATTGAACTAATGTATTTTAAAAACCATAACAAATCAAACAGAATCTTGAACTGGTACTGAATCCTTGATCTTATATCTATCCATATAGGAAACTACTTATAGAAAAGCACTGCAGCATCTATACCGCGATTACAAGGACTTAACGTGACATCTATTAACCAAATAACGAACTAAAGTTGTTATTATGTGAAACTTCGGAACTTAAACCATAGTGCGAGTAACAATTGCTACAGCGCCATCTTGCTTCTTATAAAAGAGCTATATGAACTTGAACAGCGCTCACTGCGAGCAAGTTGTTTCACTCACACACACACCTTACAAATTACTTACTACAAATTAGTAGAGCCTAATTATTTTCTTCAGACAGTTTTACTTGATAATTTTAAAGACTATGCCTACATTTATTTTAAGTATTGAAACTCTTCGGGTTGTTGTAGTACCTCGTTGTGATGGTACAACCTTTAGTTATTTGTTTCCATTAGTTATTATTGCTTTATTTGATCTCAATGGTCTCAAGTTAACGCTCATAAATACCAATATATTATTAAAAGAACAGCTCGATACTAAAGTTTCTTGTTTCTAGCGATTTTTAGTTTTCTTAATTATTGTACGTATTAAGATTTGATTATTAAGTAGAGGCAATAAAAATACGTTTCTGTCGTGATTATTAAGAATTTTTTCTTTAAATGTTATTACATGTTATAAGCAAATTATGTTTTTTTTTAAAACTTCAAGACTCCAGAAGTTTCCAGATTTCTGCCTCGAGAACCAAAATAGTTCGATAAATTAGATACCCTAGTCAGAGGGTAGAACGAGTGATGAGCTGGTATCGCAAGCGTATGGCATTTGTTCCACCGCTACCGATTAATTAGGAGCGAGTAGAGCTAGAAACTAAAGAACGAGTTGACGATCAGCGGGAAGCGTGTGTGTAGTCCGATAGTTGAGGGGTTAGTGTGAGTTTAATCCAGCGATTAAACTCACACTAAGCTATAAGCGAGTGTCCGAGCATATTTATTCCCGTCACTCCTGATTCTATCCTGCCGTCTATAGATCAATAAGTACTTTTATTTGACATATGCTATTGTCATGATGGCCAATAAAGAATTTTTCATTTTATTTTACTGAACCAGAAGTTTGATTTTCTATCCACTTGGTAGACTCCCTCTCTTTCTGTAACATACAATCTCACTGTTCGATAATTGCCAAATCTTTATTACTGTTTCAAAATTGTATTTCATGCCATGAATATGTGAATTGTAAGTTTTGAGAACTTATCAATAGGATGACTTCTGGCACCTCCACCACCCCAACAAATACACGGTATTAATAATGATGACAGTGAGTTTGAAGAAGATGAGTTTCGTCTCTATCAAGGTTCCTGCCTACCAAACTAGACGAGTCTGTCATAATCTAGATGAGGGTAGTCTCGACCTCATCTCGATGAGGCCACAAATCCATAAGTGGGTATAAGTAGACTTTCTTTCTATAATGGATAATGGGTCGTTCCACCATCAAGAACAGAAGAGTGGTGACAACATCAAAAGTTTTTAACCCAATAGATTTTTTCTATTTTATATTTTGTAAACAATGCAACACTCGTCGCACTAGAAGTAGACACGCTGGTATTTTGGTGTAGTATTGTCCGAAATCTGCTTCAAAAGTACGGCATTGATTTCCGTTGGTTCTTCCAAAAAGGTTTTCAAAAATATTTCTACCTTTAGTCTGAAACTGAAATGCCGGGCACATGCTCGTTAGAGCCCTAAGCCGGACTCCGTTGTACTTACTGCAAAAACGTGACGGCATTTCATTCTTAAATTTTTAGTATTTCAATTAAAGGTATTTTTAAATATGATTGCTCATTCTAAACCTATATAATGCCGATTCACGTTATAGTTGGTCAACCATATAAATCATATCTTGGTTGTTATCGCTGATCAGAGCGGTATCGTCGGCATATCGCAGGTAGTTTGGCCTTTTTCCTCGATTATTTTTCCTTAATTTGTCCAGTCTAGCTTCGTAAAGATTTAATTAAGATGTAAGTAATTGATATAAATTAAAAACAAGAAAGGACCAAAACATGAACCCTGAGGAACGCCTATGTTTTGAGAATGTCTGTGTCTGTTGTAATTTGTTTATTAATTCTTTTAAACTTGTTTTTACATATAAATGACTTCAGCTTTTTTTCCGAATACCACAAACTCTTAGAGTTTTGTCAAGAGAGAATTAGATGTTAAAATTTATAACTGAAACAAAATAAGTCAAAAATCATGGTTTTTATTAACAAGACGCTAAGGGTGAATTTTTCAGTTTTTTTTTATTCAGCAATCGATTGTATCCAGTCGACGTAGGGTTCGACGGCGGCACTGACTCCCGGGAAGAATGCCTGGGCGCAGCCGTTACCCCAGGACACCACACCGATGAGCACTCCACTGTCACCGTAGTACAACGGACCACCGGAATCACCCTGGAAAACGCGTAATGCAAAAATTAATGATGAAAATCATTTTCATAAAAATGAAACCAAAAACATTTAGAAGTTATACTTGTCCTTTATACACATACATCTTAATTCTAGAATACATTTCTACTTGTCCTTTATTCTAATCTTAATTCTAGAACATTTAGAGTGAAATCCTAATTGGTAAAAGACTACTCAGCTCTATTTTGTAGGTGTCGACTCTGAAAGTTTCTGATAGAATCTTATCTAACCTAATAGCACTCCCCATGACTGAATTTATAGTAGTAGTAAGTTTTGAGTATTTCTTGAAAAATTCACTACAAAAATTTATACGGAATTGGTTTCAACATTCCAAATGCTTCGATATTTCTCGTAAAGATATTGAGTTTCACGAACAGGCAATAAAAATTACAAGCAACTTTTCTGGTTACTTTTAAAATAATAAATCGATGTGGTGCTGTCGTAAAGATAGGTTGCTAAAAACGGTAACGTAGTGATATTTAATACATACATTATAATTAAAACATTTAGCTGTTAAATTTTTATGGCCTAGCACCTGGGTCGAGAGGAATTTTTGCTAATAAAATTTTGTTTAGATATTAAAATAATAGTATTTTGTACCTGGCAAGCATCCATGCCACCAACGTCGAGGATACCAGCACAGATCATGTTCCTGGTCACGGTAGCAGGAGGACGGAGGGTGAGGTAGCGGTCGCGGCAGAGCTCGTGATTGACGGTATAAATTGTGACGTCAAGAAGCTGGCTGGATGCAGGGCCACCTTGCTGCGAAAGCAAACGTTATTTAATCAACACACATAATTCTTCTTCAATCAGGCCGTCGTCACTTCATTCAAAAAATCACAATGTATGAAATTAGGAACGTACTTTGTACCAACATTGAAAATTAATATTAACATACTTCATGTAATGTTGGTCAACATGTGACGCAAGAAAGGTGCCATTTTACTGGTCATGTGGTTATAAAGTTATAAGTTTAGATATATTTAACTATTTTTTGGAGTTTATTAAAACACTGCATATCCTAACATTATGGGTGGAAAGTCTTTGCGAGAGTATGAAATTTGTGGTGTCCAGAGATTGAGAGGGTTGAGCAAAGACGTATTTTTTACTAGGTTTCCGCTTGAACCAAATTGTTAATTTTATTTAATGTTTCTTAGTTTTTAATAAATAATTGAGTAAAAACTGTATATACATATTATGAGCCTTAGTAATGTTTAGAATAAATAGCATCATATTTTTATATACGCCATCACATAGTGCTGTGCAAAAGTTATCGATATTTTTTTCTATTGGTTCGACGGCAATAACCAATAATATTATTCAGTTTTTATTGTCAGAAGATATAATAGCCAATGCTAATAAAATAGCCCAAGTTAAAGTAAAGCAAAATTAAAATAATTATGTATTTTTGTCATTCTTTATATTTTTATAATTAAACTTTCTAAGTAATACATTCTGCTAATACTAACTGTAATGTTTAAGTTTTAACTGACATTTGCAAAGACTTGAACAATTTATTATTGACCTGAGTTAACATAAGACTAAAGTTAAACTTGGACTAAAACTGATGCCATCACTTTTGTTTGCTAAAAAGAAGACAGAGAAAATATTAGGTTTAAACCAAGCCTAACTTTAGTTCATGTTTTGGAATAAGGGTTACAGTCTTAAAAACAAGCTGTTAGATGGATGGATGATTTGTTGAAAAGGGGGTTTTCCGAGGCAAGCAAAGCGAGCCCATTTTTTACTCCGTTTACTTCGCAATACATAAATGCATACATCTGTTTCCACCAACGAAGAGTCGAGCAAAAATTACAAAGAGGGCAAGAAGAGTAAAAATGAGCTAGTTAGTGGAACTGTTTCTCGGTGAAAAAGCAATCCTATTTTATGTATACATACATCCCCAGTTCATTCCTGTTTGGCGGTGAAAAACGGGCTTTAGACTGGAACGGAAAAATCTTTCTGAGTAATTTACAGTGCATATTATGCTAAAGCATGTGTTTTCCATTAAACGTAGTCACTCTAACACCGCCTCAACAGATGTTTTACATCATAATTCTCGATTCGGGTATTCGATTCTCGTCCCTCACCAAATCTTTTTTTAAAGGTACTCCCTCTTCTTACTAATGGCACAAATGACTTAGAGAAAAACATTAAAATTTGATGGAAATAAGGTTTAACATTACTTACCGAAATAGCACCCCAGCCAGCGTGGATGACTGGCCTACCGTCACGTATGACAGAACCAGGAGCGACGATTGGGGCTTGTTGGATCACAGGGTTGTATGTCAGCGGTGCCATCAAGCGGACCACAGTGATGTCACCATCATAACCCAAGGTTCCATAAGTTGGGTGGTTAAATTCTCTCTCTACATAGATGACACTACCACCAGTGTTACGGAAAGTAGCTCCAGCTCGGATGCGACGCCTACTTGGTTCGTAGAAACTGCAACGATAATAATTGAATGATCATTCAATATAAGGGTATATGATGTGATTTATCTAATAAAACATATAGGTACATTCATAATTTTTGGCGCTATCACTTGTAGTAGTATGGAACTCCGATATGAAATAGTATTATGAGAATCCTCGTGCCCGTTCTCATTTGTTATAATATTATCAGAAAAAACTGTTACTGGTCTCCATGAAACCGACCCTGAGTTACAGAAAAGACGAAACACTTGCATGGGGAAAGAATTCCATTAATAAATATTGTGCTAAAGAAAAATGACACCAAAATTCTTCGTTTGCATTGCAGGGAGATGGTTGAAGGCAAGTTGGTGGCAACGTAGCACACGTCGTCCTTTCAAGAAAACGACAATAAGGGATAAAGAAAAACATCTCCCTAGAATACTGGCTGAGAAAGTCGTTGTCACAATGGTGCCACACTAGCGATATTAGAAAAGCAAATCTATACTTACAACCCCTCAAAGCAGTGAGCTGCAGATAGGATGTGTCTCGTGTTTAAGATGCTACCGGCACACGACTGTGACCAAGCTTCAGTGAAGATCCCCAAAAATTCCACTTGGACAATGGATGGGTATTCATTGATAGTGGTGGGACTACCGCCTACTATCCTATTATGCTCACTAGCATAACAGGAACCTAGAAAACAGAAGTCAGTCATCAGTTTTCTTCGATCATCATCATCTTCATCAGCCTATTAAGGTCCCCACTGGAATGACCAACCCCGACGGCTTAGTGTGCCCTCCGAAGCACGGAGGAGCTCGAGATTTTGGTCACCCATCCAATGACCGACCATTATGAAAGTTGTTTAACTTTCACGATCGCAGGCCGAGTACGCTAACCACCTGTGCCATCGAGCTCCTCAACTTTGATCACAGAAACTCATTTAGAGCTATTAAAATTAATAGCTCTAAATGAGTTGTTGTTGTTGTTGTTGTTGAAATGAAAGGTTGTCATATGGTTGTTTGCCACCTATTTTCTAAAATAAATAATATAACTAAACATTTCCAACACTCACACTAATTGGCCTAGCCCCAAAGTAAGCACTGAAATACTTGTGTTATGGGATACTAGGGTAAGGGATAGAATATTTTATGTAGGAATACATAATTACAGTAAAAATCCATAGCTGGTATAAACATCAAAGACTTAGGTACAATTGCCCACTGGTATTCGAACTTGGGACCTTACGTTACGAGTAGGCGACATCTTGAAACCCGGCGTACATGCCACTCGGTCACGGAGATCGTCATATAGTATATTATAAAAACACACTTAGGTCAATTTTACTGAATCTAGATTTAGCCCATATAATAATGTCAAAATGACAGTAAGCCTTATAGGCGCATTTGCAGCAGTAATTTCCCTAAATTTTGATTCAACTAATAGATACTAAATTGAACTCGTGTACATTTTTCTATTCATCAACGTTAACAATAATGTCATTATTGTAAGAGTTTAAAGCAAATTTTAGTTGGATCGAGAATAAACTACTACTACCATTGTAAATTATTGTAGTAAAAACAGTCGTATTTACCACTCTTTTACGAAATAGGCCCCAGTTTTCAATTAAACGTGTATTATTAATTGATTGGTTTGGGTCATTAATATAAGTCTCTATATTATCTCTATATTTTGGCGGACCAAAAATACCGCAAAAGTCTGCGCGGGCGCAATAGTGTCAACAGGACTAAGCAGAACGGGACAGAAGAGATAGCGTTGCAGTAGTGTTAAAAACCCTAGATGGCGTGCGTTGAAATTTGATAATTTGGTCCGAATAAGCTTCTGAGCTCCGGGATACAGCATGGAAATACTCGAAATGCTATAAAATAGGTGGCAATGATCCGAAAAACAAAAACAAACGGTTACATTATATGACATTATAATTATTTAAACCATCAATTAAATATAGTGCCGCGCCATTTATGAACACCTTATAGTACTATCATAAGATGTTAAAAACCCTCCAATGACATACGCACCAATTTGGTTGTAGTCAGGCTGTTATGGACCCAACTGTTAGATGGTGTATAGACGCTATGAACGTACGTTTATCCCTGTCTTGCCGCGTATAACTTTAAAAAACCTTGGGTACTTGTTAACCAATAATACAAAGCTAAGATCTTTGTACAATTCTCCGGTTGACTGGTAGAGAATGCCTAATGTCATAAAGCCGCTATTTGTACAGTTACTTATGCAATTAAGAATAAATAAATAAAAATAAAAATGTTAATTCATGGGGGCCTTTTGTACGGCGAAGTTTATTTCCCCAGAGGCATGTGAACGCTTCAATTCTAAATTCACCTATCTCTCTTAAAAGCTATAGTAATAAACATAATGTTTTGGTTATTGTAAAATGTAAGCCCAACTCGTTTTTTCATTAAATTAAGAAAGAGATAGCTTTGGAAACCATGTTGCCATCAAACATTAAGAAAACTACGCTTCCTTTACTTAGATCTCTTCTACCTGTAAGTGAACGATAACAATTGCGAATATCAACTAAGTATATCAAACTTCATATTGTACATAAAGAGATTAAAAAAAATAAGCGTGTATAGTCTCTATATTATCTCTATATTTTGGCGGACCAAAAATACCGCAAAAGTCTGCGCAGGCGCAATAGTGTCAACAGGACTAAGCAGATTACATTGACGATTGCATGATTTCTTAAACTGCACTTGCCTAAATAAATTTTAATACCGGAACTCACTACAGAGTAAGTAAACATTATTTACCTGCTAGAAGCGTTATAGTCCAAAAAAGTAGATATGCCATCCTGTCCACAGCTGCTGGTGTCACAGTCGCGTTCAAAGTCTACCTTGATAAATTAATCGCTACTTTTATATTGATGACCTTATCATTCCTTAAAATTTAATCACGCACATTCAGATTGCATTGGATTATATAACGATATATTATTGAATGTAATTGAGCTGAAAGAATTTAGGGTCCAGTTGGTATCAAAGAACTTTTCAAGTTGTAATTGTAACTAACACCCACTTAGTTATTACCTAATCAAAGAAAATGAATATGTCAAACATTGAAGTGGATCCAAGTAATTCTTGAATCCATTATTTGGAATTGATTGGCATGATGGACTCAGTTGGAGGAAAAATTGTATTAGATTCCAAGTGGATATAAGGAAAAACTATAAAAAAAATGAATTTTGTCTAGTCTATGGGAAAATAACAGTTACATGATGAAACCAAAAAATCCCGCAGGACAATGATTAGAAACCTAGTTGAGTTAAGACTAACAGCCCATCTGAGAAACGTAATTTTTTGTATATTGCTTCATTAAGTCACATTCTGTTGTTATCGCAAAGAAAGTGACAGCATCAAATTTTTATCGCGCAACTTGGCATTTTTAAGGAATAATTTCAACACAAAACTCAGTAATTGTCGTGCGTATCGGTCAGCGTTGCATGGAACACAAGGCTTTGTCAAACAGAACGCGGTGCGTAGTAGCGTTATAGCGTAGCGTTTTAACGTCGCGCTCTTTTCATGTCACAGAGTCGAAATTAGCCCAACGCTTCTTAACGCAACGTACCATTCGCAAAAGGGTAGTGAAGATCGATAGCAGAGTGTGAAAAGTTTGTTCGTTATGAAGATATCGAGAGATTCAGATGTGGAAAGATTATTACTTTTATGCTTTATCACGGCCACAGAGAAAAAATTGTATGTGTCAGCTCCGACGCACGACCGGAGTTTACACTCTAAAAACGATTGTCTTTGAACAGACACAAAACAAAATCAAGTCGGAAGAAGTCGGTTACAAGTAGAGATACCTCAGGAATCGTCCCATGGTTTCGACTATCATAGGTTCGATGTCACACATTTTATCATCTAACATCAGCGATATTCATCATATATTTTATTATGTATTTCTGGAAACACACAATTTCAAAAATATCACACACTAGTCATCATTTTGTAAATATGTATTATAATTCCATCTGTACTGAAAATCACTATTCCAGAGTGCTGGACACTTACTGGCATTTCTCTATATTCTGTTATTTATTTGTTTTCATTAATTTTGCTCCGATTTTATCTATTTTTAGTTTATTTATTTTATTGATATTTGTGACAACTTAATGTTTTTTTCCGTTGCCATGGCTAAAAGTGAAAGGTGCGCATATGAGGTTGCGCACAAAAACGTAACGAGGTCATTAATGTCATTCATCGATAGATTTTACTCCTCACGTTTTTCTCATACCGGGCCCCTTATATATGCAATCGATTCTTAAGGAAATAAGAATAATAATAATTAAACTCCAAAAAGAGTATGGTGCATGACTTGATTGATATATTTTTATGCAAACTACCCTTTGTATTATAAAAGCATGGGTATTTTCCAACTAATTCGGACATATGCAGTATTTTAACACGTATTCACACGGACGCTAAAATAAAATTAGTAAAAAAATACAACGCCCGACGTTAAAGCGTCCTAACGTCGCGACAGAGCGTTGCATACAAAGAGTGTTGCGTACTGCTATCGCTGGCACTCTGATTGACGGTATTTTATCATGGTAGTACAACACATCTTAGCGTCATAGCGCGGCGTCAAGTTAGCGCTCTGACGCGTGCTAAGTACGCGTTCTGTTTGTCAAAGCCTTAAGTGACGGGAAACGACTTAGACCCCACCAGGTGGGAGATAATTTTTCAACGTCACCTGCGCTGCCACACTACCTAGAGAGAAAATAATCAAAACTATCAAAATAGTAGTTATACGGAACATCGTGCAATTATGGCTACTGTAACTTAATAATCTGTCAATGAAGTTTAATCGCAAGTCAACTATCTTTATACCGGTAGATTAATTTAATCAATTGCTGCTTTATAATCTTATCATCTTTATTATAAGTAATTTTTTTACGCATGCAGTGGCAGCCTTTAAGTAAGGCAGCACTAAGAATTGTTTTCTTTATTTCTTTCTCAGTTTGTACTTTTATTTGATGTTTGTTTTTTTCGCTGTCCTTAATAAATAAATAAATAAATTATTTTACAATTTCCCAAATCGATTCCTAACAATGGCTTTTGACAATTCTATATATTATTCTTGAATGAACTCACGAGTTAGTCGATGGCGCAGTTAATTAGTGCGTTCGGTCTGCGATCGTGGAAGTTAAGTAACTTTCGCAATGGTTACCTTTTGGATGGGTGACCAAAAAGCTCTTCTAGCCACGTAAAGCCGTTGGTCCCATCTGCATCTGCAGTCGTTAGCACCCACCAATCCGCACTGGGCACGCGTGGTGGGTCATGGGCCAATCTCCCTATTCCATCCATAGGGAAGGCCTGTGCGCCAGCAGTGGGGACATTAATAGGCTGATAATGAATGATGATGATGAAGTAACTTTCGCAATGGTTAACTTTTGGATGAGTGACCAAAAAGCTCTTCTAGCCACGTAAAGCCGTTGGTCCCATCTGCATCTGCACTCGTTAGGATCCCCCAAAATACACTGGGTAGGCGTGGTGGATCATGGCGTAATCGCCCGACCTATGTCAATACATAGGAAAGGCCCAGCACTGGGAACTGGAAAGGCCGATGATGATGATGATGAAACTACTGGTCACAGATTAATGACTCCAAAAAGGTCGTCTCAGATGGGTTATTTTTTAGGGTGAGTACATACGCTCACCATATTTATTTTTAGGGGTGTCGTGTTGTGTGTAGTTGAGTTTATATGCAATTATTGGTGTAACCAATTATAAGTAATTATACAGGGCGTCCCACGGCATTGTGTGAGAACATATTTGAAAATATGATATTAGCTGTCGGAAACACGGAAAAGTCAGAGGAAATTCGCCTGACCAAAATTTCAATTTTATTATCTTCCTTTCCTATGAAATGCTATGCTATTTATAAAAAACAAATAAACTTATAATTTACCCTCTAAACGGTTATCATAAAATACGTCATGTGTTTTTTTTCACATTTCACGAGTTTGATTCCCGGTGTGGCAGACGATTTAAAAAAAGCTGTGATGGAGTTCTGTTTATTATTAAAAATATAATGATGTTTTCTTTCAGTAAAATATCATACCGTCAATATTTAATATACTCGTACTTAACTATTTTATAAATTACTCAATATGGTAAAAAATTTGCAGTTTTTATTGCATGTCAAATTAAATACAGCACTGAGTATTTATCTGTTTTCTCATGATGATTTTTTTATAATAATAGTCAACATGCTTCTTAATAAACTGATTTTATTTTTTGTGAACCAATTTTTAAGCTCTCTGTTTTAAGATCCATCAAGAAAAATATTGGAGAAATTTCTGAACCTATCCGACTGGTTTTAAACCTATTGTGGGACCAGGGACTTCATTTCATATACACTTCTGGACACATCTATTGGCCCACCTTAGAGTTTAGGTTTCGATGGCCCCTACCGAAATATGATTGCTAGATTGAACAAAAACTGTTGATGCAGTTTTAAACCTGATACATTTTACCATCTTTTTCGATCGTATTGTTTTAAATTTGAATTCAGAATACCATACGACATGCAGCTATGCCTAACAAGTAGGATATGCGTCTTGTTAAAGGAAATTGATTTTTGAATAAAAAACATGTTTTATCAAATAAAGGTTTAATTTAATAACGCGTGTTGCCTCCATGGGCGTCTACCACAGCTCTCATACGATTAGGCATAGAGTTTATCAACCGCTCTATGAAATTTTGAGGGATCATCTCCCATTCCTCTTCTATGGCAGTTTTCAACTCCTGCATCGTCTGGGCAACTGGCTGTCGAGCCCTAACACGTCTTTTTAGCTCGTCCCACATGTGCTCAATGGGGTTCATGTCTGGGCTTTTGGCTGGCCAGTCCATAACTGTGATGTTCACATCCCGAAGATATTCCCTGACGATGCCGGCTGCATGGGCTCTTGCATTATCATGCATAAAAAGGAAATTTGGGCCCACATAGTCCGCGTATGATATCACGTGAGGTTCTAAGCACTCACGAATGTACCTTTCAGCATTTTATGTTGGCAGCCGTGGTCCTGTAACAACCTCAAGTTGAGTTTTGCCGCTCGCGGATATACCGCCTAAGACAGTCCATGAGCCACCGCCATAAGCAACCCTCTCTTCAAAGCAGCATTGTGCGAAACGCTCTCCCTTACGTCGGTAGACCTTCTTCCTTCCATCATTGCCATGTAACACAATTTTAGACTCATCAGAAAAGAGTACACGGCTCCAATCTTGCTGTGTCCAATTTAAATGACTGCGTGCGAAATGAAGACGCGCTATTCGGTGGGCTCGCGTTAGTTTGGGCCCATTAGCTGGCTTGTGTGGTACCATATCGCGTTCTTTTAACCTTCTCCGTACAGTTCGAGCGCTCACAGATACTCCGTGGAAGTCGCGAATTTGTTTTTGTATCTCAATGGAGGTAAGGTGACGATTTCTCAAGCTGGTCGTCACGATGAATCGATCCTGCCTTTCAGTTGTGACCCGAGATCGTGGCCTTCCTAGACGACGAACAAAGCCGCCAGTCTTTAGGTACCTCCGATAAACAATCGACTTAAATTAAGTTGAGCACTCACGTTTCTTTGGCTGTGTCCGGTCTGAATAAGTGCCACAGCTTGGGCGGCGACTTCAAGTGAAGTATCCATAGATTATTGATAGAACCTCACCTTAATGTTAAGAATAAGTAATGTTTGTTGCAAAACCAAAGATATCAATCACTTTTTCAAGAATTAAATCCAAGTAAACCAAGTTTTCTTAGTATTCGATTGTTTGATATCAACAAACAGGCTCCATGTATTTTGTTTCTTTAAATTCTGTGTTCGAAATTCAA